ATAAAACGCAGGACGGCAAGCATGAAAGTGCTAAAACAGAGACCAAAGAGCCTGGTATGTTTCCTGCAGACACAAAGTCTCAGCATCAATCCAAACTTCAACATCCACAGTTGAAAGAAAAGAGACGGGATGTAAGTTTTAGACTATCGCACAGTATAAAGAAGAGAAAACTGATTCAAGTTATAAGGCATCCTAAGCATTTTCAGCAAAAAGCCAACAGACCACCTACCTCAAAAACGGTGGAAACAGACATGGAAAAAGTCCTTACCAAAAGAAAGACCATTTCTTTAGACATGGAGAATAGCAATAGTACCTTCATGGAAGCTCAAACCAACATTTTTGCCAATGAAAACTCTCAAATCGGTCTGTCATCCAAAGACTCATCGGAGAAGCTTCTGATGTCTGGGGAGAGGGAGGTATACTCCACTAAAGCTTGCCACAAGCATGTTCAACAAAAGGCAAAAAGGACTTTGGAAAAAGCATTAGAAAAATGCGTTAACACACAGAAGAGAAGAACCATAGTACTCTCATCACAAACTGAGGGCAGCAATGATGCCTTACTTTATGCACAAACTAGTCCATCCTCCAAGTACATGCCTAAGAGGTGTCTCCAGACTCTGGATTTGAGTCCTAATCCTGTGAGTCCTCACTTTTTTGTTCAGAGAGCTTCTCAGCCTAGTGAGCACCTGAAGCACATGGAGCAGTCTACAGTCCAAAAAAATAAAACTCTGGTGACACCAGAAACCAGCAAAAACACTCGCTCCTCTAAAAAGGAGACGCAGCATTTTTACAAAGAGATAAATGACAAGACTGGATACAGAGGAACGTGCCACACTGATACACACCATACATTACTTTCTAAAACTAATACCAGCTCAGCTAGTGCCAGACGACATTTTTCTTTATGCAGTTTACAGCAAGCTCATTCCTACAGCAGCACCTCAACATTAAGTCAGTTTTACACTCATACAAAGGACCCATCATCCTTTACATGCATGCAGCATTCAGCCAAGAAGCAAGTGTTTAATGACCGTCAAAAGAGCTTTGTCCCAACCAGGAGAGATCAAAAAACTAGTGTGGAGAGTAACCTACGAGCCCAGAACAGTTTCAAGTCAATGAAGAAAGGTAGATCTGGTGGTGATGATGTGGCACACAGGCGGAGACGCAGCTTCTATCCGTCTGTACCTCCTCTGATGAAGAGGACCAAGTGTGAAGCCATTCAGCTGACCAAGGCCAGAAATCGGGACACTCCACAGAAACAAAGTGTGTACTTTTGAAGTCTTTAAAATGTTTTGGATTATTATTCATTAATTATTCATTTAGGTAAAGTAAAAAATTATTTTAAATGTGTTTAATCTCACTGCATGTTCCTAAACTTGATTCTAAATGTAGGATTCCCTGTGAGTGAAGGCTATAAGTGGAAGAATGAAACAAGCTTCATGGCTAACAGAAGATGATCCTCAACAATATATACATGGACTGCATATAAAACATGAATCCGGCTTCTGGCCCAAATGTAAAACTATACATTCTTACATTTCTTTTTTGCTAACAGCACTGAGGGAACTATTTTGAGTTGTTTCAGATGTTTGTAGAGGTGCCACCATTTCTGTCTTTGGTTTATCAAAAGCTCTTCTGTACAGTACAGCGACATTCATATAAAACTGTAAAATATTCAATATTTTACCTGTTGTCAGTGTAAATATGTACGTTTAATTAATGTTATATTGTTAACATCTGTCATCGTTGTCATTGTTTGTTTAAACAGGAATCTGTTTGCAAAGACTACTTCATGCTTCACATTTTTACCTTGAAAGCTTATCTAGTACACACCAACTATAACTGTATTTTCAATTATACTGCTAAACAAATATGAGAAATGAGAAAT